GTCTAGGGGTGTGTTTTTCAGAGGTGCTTTACAGACGACAGTGGCACTGCTGAGCAGCCAGGGCTGCAGCTCATGTCCCCTCGGGGGCTGCGGTGGATGGATACGCAGGCCTTTGCCCACCTCAGACCAACCACATCCAGGTTTCCGTGGGGAGGGGCTCTAGAGTGGCACTTCTAGCACATACCGTAGGTGGTTTTTGCTTACAGTCAAGTTTTAGAAGCATTTCTGGAGAGCTCCAGGTGTGTGTATGGGACATGGTGGCCCTCGCCTATCCTTCTGTTTTCTTTGCTTTATTTTTCTTCATGAATTTGTCTCTTCCTGACATGTTACATACCTGGTTGCCCCTGCCTCCTTTACTGAAGGCCACAGCCTCCAAGGGGGCAGGGTGGGTTTTCTCATCTCCGGGTCATCTGGAGAGGCACGTGTCCCAGCACTATAGTGACTGGATGTGTGTGGAAGGAGGAGCACGGCGCCCTCTAGTCCCAGGGCAGGAACTACTGTAGTCTTTTTGAAAGTGAAAGTTTTGTTATACATGTGATAACGTAAGTGGCACGTGCTAATACACGTTTTCTTTCTTATTAACAGCAGCTCAGCACTGAGTCATGCTTGCTTCTGCTACGCGATGATTTGCTCTATTCCAGTTTCCACGTATATCGTCTTGGTGACATCTCTGCGTTATCATTTATTCATATGGAGTGTATTTTCTCCAAAACTCCTCTATGAGGGGATGCATCTGCTCATTACAGCTGCTGTCTGTGTATTCTTCACAGCAATGGATCAAACCAGACTCACACAGTCTTAGACTAAGCTGAACACTGGAAAAATAATACATGCTTAAAGTCTGCTGTTATTCTAAAATGTAAGATGTGAATTCAACAAAGTTGTTGAATAGCTTTAACTTCTTTGACTACTGTACCTGAATTTAGTTTAAGTAGTAAATAGTTTAATAAAAGGTCACTTTAATACACAGTTTGTATCATATTTCCCCTATTGGGAATCACTCTAAAAGCTTCTGGACTTTTAATTTCCTCTGAATAAGCTATAGTATGACCCAAATAGGTGTGTTTAAATCAAATTAATGAAAACGTTCTGGCCTTTGTTAGAGTCCAGGAGCTCTGGAAGGAGGCACCAGGATTATCTTAGGAAGCTCTGGGCTCTTAGAATCCTACAAACCGAGGGCCCCAAGGAGCTTTGGTTTATGAGGGTTACACATGTCGGTGTTTATGGCATTTGAGATGAAAACTAAGATTTTAAAAATTAGTCATTTATAAAGAATCTATTGCATATTAATATAACACTTTAAGGAAATATAACTGTATTTTCCAAAACAAAAAAATTCAGTGAGACCCAGCACTTTGGGAGGCCAGGATCACTTCAGCCCAGGTGTTTGAGATCAGCCTGGGCAACATAGTGAGACCCTCAGATCTCCAAAAACTTCAAAACTGAGAAAAGAGGATTGCTTCAGCCCAGAATTTGGTGAGCCATGATTGAGCCATGATTGTACCACTGCACTCCAGCCTGGACAACAGAGTGAGACTCTGTCTTTAAAAAATAAATAAAAAATAAATGTATAATGAGAAAAATGGTATTGTTTTACATTTTTGCAAACCTCTTTAATGTCTGGCTTAATTGAAGCTAGTTGGATTCTGTGTTTGACCTGATGTGATATGTGTGTGTGGTTAAAATATAAGAAGAAAATCGGCCGAGTACAGTGGCTGACACCTGTAGTCCCAGCACTTTGGGAGGCCAAGGCGGGCGGATCACCTGAGGTCAGGATTTCAAGACCAGCCTGGCCAACATGGCGAAAACCTGTCTCTACAGAAAATACAAAAATTAGTGATCCCTTCTGCTTGGAAGGCTGAGGCAGAAGAATTGCCTGAACCCAGGAGGCATAGGTTGCGGTGAGCCGAGATTGTGCCGTTGTACTCCAGCCTGGGTGACAGAGCGAGACTCCCTCTCAAAATAAATTAATTAATTAAAAAAATATGTATATATGAAGAAAATCTAGCCTCAGACAGATCAGTAGTTGGAAAGAGGAGGAATATTTTAATGTCCTTTTTCTGATCATTGTGGATTTTTTTTTCTTTTCTTTTGAGATGGAGCTTTGTTCTTGTTGCCCAGTCTGGAGTGCAATGGCACCATCTCAGCTCACTGCAACCTCTGCCTCCCAGGTTCAAACGATTCTCTTGCCTCAGCCTCCCAAGTAGCTGGGATTACAGGCGTGCACCACCATGCCCAGCTAATTTTGTGTTTTTAGGAGAGACAGGGTTTCTCCATGTTGGTCAGGCTGGTCTCAAACTCCCAACCTCAGGTGATTCACCCACCTCAGCCTCCCAAAGTGCTGGGATTACAGTCATGAGCCACGTCGCCCAGCTGGATGTTCTTTTTTGATAACACCAAATCATTTTTGGTGTCAGCACCAAAACTTGACAAGTGGCAGTTTTCTGAAGGTTAGTTGGACAAAAAGAAAAGAAATGAGTGTATGTAAAAACGTGAAAGGCTGCTGAGGGCTGTATGTGAATTAATAGAATCGTGCCCACATTTTCCTGGTTTTGATCTGGGTGTGTAAGATACCATCATTGAGGGGAGCTGGGTGAAGGATACATAGAACTCTCTGTACTATTTTTGCAACTTCTTGTGAGTCTTCAACGATTTCAAAATAAAAGTTATTTTGAAAAAAGATTCGCTGCCATGTGGAATCTGAAATCATATCAATGAACTTTCATGCCCTGATGTATTACAACACATTGACCTCTCCTGCCCCCTGAGTGGAACTTTTACCCAGATGTGATTCTTACATCTGCATTGTTGTTTGGAAAATAACAGTTCACTGAATGATACAGATTTCCAAATGTTGTTGTTCATTATTCCATACCAAAATCACTTATTTATATCACTGCCAGTCTCATCAGAAGAGTAGATGGTGGCTCACACTTGTAAGCCCAGTACTTTGGGAGGTTGGGGAAGCAGGAGGATAGCTTGAAGCCTGGAGTTTGAGGCCAGCCTGGGCAACATAGTGGGACCCCGTCTCTAAAAAAAAAATTTGAAAATTAGCCAGGTGCAGTGGTATGTGCCTGTAGTCCCAAGTACTCAGGAGGCTAAAGCAGGAGGACCACTTGAGCCCAGGAGTTCAAGGCTGCAGTGAGATAGGATTGCACCATTGCACTCCAGCCTGGCCAACAGAGCAAGAGCCCATCTCTAAAAAAATTAAAATGTAAAGAAAAAACAAACTCACCATCCAGAGGAAACAATCACTAACATTTAGTGAATACAGTTCACTAAATGGAAGAAGGAGGGAGGATGCATAGATACATACATGAAGATCGTAATATAAAAACTGATACATCACTTATTCTTATAAAAAAGTGATACATATATTATCACTTTTAATCCAAAGTAGTTATATAATTTTTAATTTAACAGAAAAAGTGAAACCAAAGAAAAGGCTGAATTTTTGATCAGTGTTTCTTCATTACAAGAAACATTCATACATTTTTTTTTTTGTTTTGAGACAGTCTTGCTCTGTCACCAGGCTGGAGTGTAGTGGCACAATCTCAGCCCACTGCAACCTCTGCCTCCCAGGTTCAAGTGGTTCTTCCACGTCAGCCTCCCGAGTAGCTGGTACTATTGGTGCGTGCCACCACGCCCAATTAATTTTTGTATTTTTAGTAGAGACGGGGTTTCACCATGTTGGCCAGGACGGTCTCAATCTCTTGACCTTGTGATCTGCCCACCTCGGCCTCCCAAAATGCTGGGATTACAGGCATGAGCCACCATGACTGGCCCATTAAATATTCTTATAAAATTAAGAAAATAGATTTCTTAAAACGTCTATTAAGACAGTTGGTAAAGAGAAAGGACAACTTCTCAGGCAGAGGATACATAAAGCCTTGTTTCAATATGGAAGGCTGATTGTCACATCAAAGGAAGAGTTTCTGCCTCTTCATACCTATAACTGTGGAGTATTGTTAGGGCAATTCAATGACAAGATTAATACTGTTTTAAAGTATTTTTTATGCTAGACTTTATTCTCTGGTTTATGCTCAGTGGAGCCCTGTGACCAAGTTTTTTTTTTTTTTTTTTTTGAGACGGAGTTTCGCCCCTGTTACCCAGGCTGGAGTGCAATGGCGCAATCTCGGCTCACCGCAACCTCCGCCTCCTGGGTTCAGGCAATTCTCCTGACTCAGCCTCCTGAGTAGCTGGGATTACAGGCACGTGCCACCATGCCCAGCTAATGTTTTGTATTTTTAGTAGAGACGGGGTTTCACCGTGTTGACCAGGATGGTCTCGATCTCTTGACCTCGTGATCCACCCGCCTCGGCCTCCCAAAGTGCTGGGATTACAGGCGTGAGCCACCGCGCCCGGCAACCAAGTTTTTCGTAACACCAATAACTTGACCAACTTGACAATACAATCGTAAGATATTTGGAGGAAGAAAATGCTAAGAGGGGTCATTACATGGTAAAATTCATTTTTCACTCATTCAGCTGCTCTGTGTCTTTTAATTGGAGAGTTTAATCCACTTATATTCATTATTATTACGGGTAAGTAAGGACTTACTCTTGCCATATTATTTGTTTTCTGGTCTTCTTTCTTGCTTTCCTGTCTTCCTTTAGTGAAGGTGATTTTCTCTGGTGATATTGTAACCAGGGGACAGGAGCAGGTTGCAGGGGTGTTCCAAAGATACTAATTGTTTCCTGATCAGATGTGTTTTCCCAGTCCTTGGGCCTCACTCACCTGAATGGGGAGAGATCCCTGGTGCGAGGTGAGCTTGTTCAAGTATTGGACCCAGAGAGTTTTGCAGAAACACAATTTATTAGGCAGAGAGAGAGAGACAGCTCCCACACTGTCATGGGAGGGGATCCAGAGATGGACTCCGTATAGGTAAGGGAGCAGGGGGAATTTAACCACGGAGTTACTCCCACCCCATTCAAGTTCTGGTCCAGTGAGCGGAGCTTTTCCAAAATTCGTCTGGAGTGATTGATTGACTCGATGCTGGGTTGGCTGCCTGGCTTGCAGTAGAGCCCCTCCTTCCAAGGCTTTTGGTGGGCTTTCTAAACAAAGGAAGCTCACCTGGGCTGTCTGTCCTTCCTGCTCATGGGAAAGTTGGACAAAGAACTCTAGTTCCAGCCTGGCGGATCACCTGAGGTTGGGAGTTCAAGACCAGCCTGGTCAACATGGTGAAACTCCGTCTTTAAAAAAAAAAAAAAAAAAGAACTCTAGTTCCCACATGGGGACATGAATGAAGGCAGGTCAGGCATGTCGCTGGGAAGTTTCTGCCTTTGAAACCACGCCCCATGTGGACTTGGGAAGAGAAGTTAACATAGTCCCTCAATATGATTTAGTTTCTCACTTTTTATTTTTTGTGTATCCAGTGTATGTTTCCTGGTTTGAGGCCACTGTGAGGCCTGCAGATACTATCTTATAATCCATTATTTTAAGCTGGTAACAACTTAGAGACCACTTGGCTGTCTACCCACCATGGCTCTGCTGGTACCTAAAGTGCAAGACAAGGTCCTCTTTGCTTTTCCTTCTGCTTTTCTCAAGCAGAAGGAGTTTTGCCCTGCAGCACAGGTGGGAATGTGCTGAGACACACCTGAAGCCAGCCATTCTCAGAGGCTGATTAAGGCCCTCACTGTAGGATCTGGGCGTCGCTGCTGGTTATTCAGAGCCCAAGGGCTTTTCCGTTAGCAGGTGATGAATGAATGCTTCCAGGACTGGGTCTTTCCCTTAAATGCAATGGGCTCCCTTCTCACCCAAGGAGTGTCTAGAAATGTCATCCAGGAGCTAGTCCCGGAACAGGACCTCACAAATCTGACCAGTGCCCTAATCCTGCTGTGTCTGAGCTGGTATCCAAGATGCAAGACAATGTCCTCCCCACTCTTCCCTCTCCTCTCATCAAGCAGAAGGAAGGGGTCTCTTTTGGAGCTTTGAGCTGTGCAGCCTGGGATTAGGGGTGATGCCACCCCAGCTGGTATCTCAGTAAGTTGCATGCCCCCTCAGTCCACTGTCTCTGGGCCAGTTCAGCACTGACTCATCTGTGAAAAAAATTTTTTTTTTGAGATGGAGTTTCGCTCTTGTTGCCCAGGCTGGAGTGCAATGGCGAGATCTCAGCTCACTGCACCCTCCACCTCCCAGGTTCAAACAATTCTCCTGCCTCAGCCTCCCCAGTAGCTGGGATTACAGGCGCCCACCACCACGCCCAGCTAATTAGTAGAGATGAGGTTTCACCATATTGGCCAGGCTGGTCTCAAACTCGACCTCGTGATCCACCCGCCTTGGCCTCCCAAAGTGCTGGGATTACAGGCGTGAGCCACTGCGCCTGGGCTCGAATTTCTTTAGAGGAACTCAAGTCCCCAACCACTTTGATCAGCAATCCCCTCTGGCCAGGGCTGGTTTAAATGCTCCCTCCGTGGGTGGGTGTCAGCTGAGCTTGGTCTGGCACTGAGTTCTATGTCTCTCAACTGCTGTGTTCTCCCTCCCGAAGTGCCCATAGACTCTGCACCATACCACCGCTGCGAGGGGTGGGGATGGGTGGCATCTGCAATTCAGGACTATTTCTCTATCTCTTCAGTGCCTCTTCCAGCAATATGGAGTTAAAACCAGGTACTATGAGGGCTCACCTGATGTTTGGTTCTCATGAAAGTGTTTTTTCTGTGTAGATAGTTGTTAGATTAGTGTCCTTGTGGGGGTGGGGATGGGGGTGGGGTGATCAGCAGAGACTTCTATTCTGCCATCTTGCTCTGCCTCCCCGTGGTGAAACTGAGCAGAAATAAGTAAACTAATATCAAGGCTAGAAATAAAACTCAGTTCCCATATTTCCAAGTTTGGGGACTCCCCACCCAAACCTCACCCTCCAACTTTGACAGAACCACATACAGCGTTAATATAAACAAAAACATGGCAATACACTAAAACAAAACGTTGGGTCACCGGAAGCCTACCACAGTGAGTGTGATGTGTGTTTTCAGATGCTCACTGGACCACTCAGTGGTGTCCCATCAACTATTTCCTCTCCCCTTTGTGAAAATCACTGTCTTCCATGGAAAATTACAGATTTAATGGAATAGTTGGTTTTCGATGTGATAAATTTTCTGATGCTAACTGTAAAGCTCATAGGAAAAGTGCTTGGAGAAGACATTCAGATGATATATTTACTTGGATCAGGCATGTTCATACTTATGTAACTTAGCAATAATCATTGAATAAAGTAGAATTGCAGATTATTTTTTGAGAATGAGGAACTTTTTAAGTATCTCTGAGCATCGAAGTTATGCAGATAATGACTGGTAGAGCCCAGATTTCAGCCCAGGTTAAATTTCACACTCTATTTCACACTTCTCTACACTTTCTCTAGGATGTGCTGCCATTCCCTTTTTTTTTTTTTAGACAGAGTTTCACTCTGTTTCCCAGGCAAAAGTGCAGCAGCACAAGCTTCGCTCACTGTAGCCTCGACCTCCTGGGGCTCATATGATCCTTCCACCTCAGTCTCCCAAGTAGCTGGGACTACAGGTGCACACCACCACACCCAGTTAATTTTTTTTTTTATAGAGGTGAGGTCTCGCCATGTTGCCCAGGCTTGTCTTGAACTGCTGGGCTCAGGCCATCTGCCCACCTGACCTCTCAAAGTGCTGGGATTACAGACAGGAGCTACCATGCCCGGCCCACTTTTTTCCAATCACAACCAAAATCCCTGAACATCCAAATAGTCTCAAATTTTATCACATTTCCAATTATAGGTACTTGTTTGTTTAGAAAAGGAAGTTGACTATTAAAATTCTAATGATAAGTAAATGATAAGTACTATAGGAAATAGTATAAGGTCACCCTAAATCACATTTGCTACATTCTGATATAATGAATTATAATCTTGCTTGGAAAGAATCCAATCCACAATCCCCATATAGCTATTTCTCTTTGCAACAGCAGAATCAAGGACTTGAGAATTTATTTTTCCTCCTATTATTCAAGAAATATTATAAAATGCAGTTTCATTGTCATTAGGATATACTTGAACTACTGGGTGTTACAAGATCTAATCTCTGGGATAATATCAGCATTAAAGACTCTGCATCAGCTCATCCCTTCTCTACAAATAATAACAAAGTATAACTAAATGATCTTTAAGATGCCAGTAAGAGCCTTCCCTGCTTCACACACACACACACACACACACACACACACACACACACACAAAGTTAAGAAATTGGAGTAATGTTGATTTTTGAAAATTAACTACTTTTTCTTATTTTAATCTCTATTGATTAACTCCCTGCTATGAAAGATGACAGTTGTCACATATTCTTCCTTCGTTCCCCCACTTGCCAAATTTTCTGTAGAGTTATCACGATTCGTAAAATTGTATATTTGGTCCTGTAATTTACACAATTGGTCAGTTTTGATTCTGTAATAAATGATTCACTGCTCACCCCTAGTCCTTTCCCCTGCTAAATTCTTATTTACACAATTTGCAGGATGGATCTCATTGTCTAGTACTTCTTTCAAGAATGATTCAAGGATGTTGGACTCTTCACTTTTTGCATGTCTGTGATGTCAGTCTGGTGTCTTCATGGCTTGCTGTAGAATTCTCATGCAGCTGTTTCTTCCCTCAACACGTGATGGAAATGGCTGTGCTTTACTGTTACCTGAGGCTGTGCATGATCTAAAACCAAACCGCTTTTCTCCCCTCGTGCATTGCTCGCTTTTCCTGGTATTTTCTTTTTTCTCCTTCCCTTTTTCCTTCCCATGTTCCTTCCTCCCTTCTGTTTTTCTGCCTTTGTCTTTTTAAATTTTACCTTTTTTCCTCTTCGTTGTCCTCTATGTTGTTAATGGATTTCTTTCTGTTCCAAAAGTTTTCTAGGATATTGTTTCTTAATGTACAGATATTTAATGTTTACAAATATTTAAGATTTTTTTTTGAGATAGGTTTTGCTGTGTCACCCAGGCTGGAGTGCAGTGGTGCGATCTCAGCTCCCTGAAGCCTCAGCCTCCTGGTCTCAAGTGATCCTCCCACCTCCCAGCCTCCCAAGTAGCTGGGACTGCAAGTGCACACCACCATGCCTGGCTAATTTTTGTAATTTTTTGTAGAGGCGGGGTTTCACCATGTTGCCCAAGCTGGTGTTGAACTGCTGAGCTTATGTGATCCGCCTACCTTGGGCTCACAAATTACTGAGATTATAGGCATGAACTCCCACCCCTGAGCCAAATATTTAAGATTTTTATCACTTTCTAAATTTTTTTCTATTTATAGGACATCTCCCACTTAGCATCCATAATTCATTCTGAAAATCCACTGTTTCATGCTAAAATGCCAAGTGGGGATCTATTTCTCATTATCTTAAATGGGAAATTATGATAATGCCTTACACACCCCACCCAAGCTCCCAGTTCCCTGAGGTGTAACTGAACAGAGAGATTAGCCACATGTAAGGAACATGATATCACGTTAGGGTGCAAAGTGCTTAAAACATCACTTCCTGGTCACTAAACTGTTAATATGGCTATGACATCACTTGCTCTGTGCTGGCCAGCACGGCCTCGGCATCGAACGCCATCAGCACCTCTCACGGTGTCTACAGAGATTCAGATGTGTTGACAATTATATTTGGAACACAACAAGAGATGTTTCCCACCTATTGTTATGTTACGGTTGGTATTTATTGAGTTTTAAGGATATAAATTAAATTTTCTATTTAAAGAAGGCTGGGTAATGGTGTATAGAGAGAAGCATATAGCCTATAAATGCGGGTATTAAAAATAAAAAGACATTATCCTAGGAAAACATTAACCAGGAGACATTCTTAAAGGGCATACCTGTAATTATTCTGTATTTAAAAAGTTATATCTTGGAAATGTTTGAAGTGGATATAAAATAAACAGTATTGTAATGAGACCCTGGCACCCATTACTCACCCTCAGGAATCGGCACTCGGACATTCTCCTATCTTCTTTCACCCCCTCCCTCCCAGCCAATTACTTATTTTACAGTTTTTAGTTTTTGAGGTAAAATGTACATACATTGAAACGTGAAAAGCAAACCCAGACAACTTCAACAAGTGGAAACATATGTAATTCATACCTCTCTCAAGATACAGAATATTTCTTTTTCGAGGGGACAGAGTTTCACTCTTGTTGCCCAGGCTGGAGTGCAATGGCATGATCTCGGCTCACCACAACCTCAGCCTCCTGAATAGCTGAGATTACAGGCATGTGCCACCATGCCCAGCTAATTTTTTGGTATTATTAGTAGAGGTGGGGTTTCACCATGTTGGTCACGCTAGTCTTGTACTCCTGACCTCAGGTGATTCACCTGCCTCGGCCTCCCAAAGTGCTGGGATTATAGGCATGAGCCACTGCATCTGGCCAAAATGTAGAATATTTCACTCCTCCAGAAAATTCCGTCATGGTCTTTCCCAGAGACAACCACTGTTTTAATTACATTACATATGCTCCATGACTTACAATGGGGTTATGTCCCAATACAAGTTATGTCCCATTGCAAGTTGAAAATACCCTAAATTGAAAATGCATTTAACCCACCTAACCTACCAAACATAGCTTAGCCTCGCCTACCTTAAACATTCTCAGAACACTTACATTAGCCTACAGTTGGACAAAATTAACACAAATCCTATTTTATAACAGTGTTGACACTAGTTGGAAAGAAAAAATTTTAAGTGTTGAATAGTGCACTGAAAGTGAAAAAGTATGTTTGCATGAGTACAGTTACTACTGAATGCATGTCACTTTTGCACCATCATAAAGTCAAAAAATTGTTAGCCATCGTAAGTTGGGGACCATCTGTACCTATGCCTATTCTAGAAATTCAGTTAAGTGAATTCATGTAGACAGTGTGTACTCTTTTGCTTCTAGCTTCTTTCACTCAGAATAGTGTCTATGGGTTCACCTTGTGCCGAGAATCTGCTTTCATTCCTTTCCATGGCGAAGTGGGATTCCATTGTGTGACATACCACAGCTTGTTTATTCATTCTGCTGCTGATCGGCATTTGGATTCTTTCCAGCTTTCTGGCTGTTGAGAATAAAGCCGCTGTGAATTTTCTTATACACATCTTGTTGTGGACATATGTTTTCACATTTCTTGGAAGAGTATCTGGGACTGGGATTGCTAGGTCATGTAGTAAATGTATGCCTAAATTCTGGAAGAACTGCCAAGCGCCTTTCCAAAGCAGGTTTGCCAGTCTATATTCACCGCAGGGTGTGGGAGTCCTCCGTGCCTGACGTCACAGCCAACATTTCGTATCTTTTTAATTTTATTCATTCTGACGGGTGCATAATGTTATCTCATGGTTTTTATTTGCATTTTTCTGATGACTAATGATGTTGAGAACTTTTTTTCTGTGGGCTTATTGTCCATTTGTATATCTTTTTTCTATGAAGTGTCTGTTCAAGTTTTTTGACCATTTTAAAAGTTGGCTTATCTTTTCCTTGCTGAGTAATGAAAATTCTTTATAGATTCAGAATACAAGTACTTCATCAGAGGTTTTTTAAGTGAATATTTCTCCCCAATCTGTTGCATATTCATTTTTTGAAATTTATTATAGAGTATTCATTTTTAAAATGATGTCTTTTGAAGAAGAGAAGTTTTCGTTTGAATTAAATCTAATGTATCTGTTATTTCTCATGTAGTTATTGATTTCTGTGTCTTATCTAAGAAATCTTTGTTCCGGTCACAAAGGTATTCCCATGTATTTTTCTAAAATTTTCAGTTTTAGCTTTTATATTTAGGTTTATGATGCATCTCGAAATAATTTTTATATGTAATGTGATATGGACATTCAGGTTCTTTTTTTCCTTCTTTCTTTCTTTCCTCACCCACCTCTCACTCTAAGGCAGATAGCCATCCATTTCAGCACTACTTGTTGAAAACACTTCTCTTTCCTCATTGAATTATTCTGGCTTCTTTGTAAAAAATCAATTGATGAAATAAGTGTGGGGTCTATTTCTGGACTCTCTGGTATGTTCTAGGAGTTTTTTTGTCTCTTCTTAACGCCAGGACCAGACTATTTGGATTACTGTGGCTTTATGTTGTCTCAAAGTTAGATAGTAAACTCCTTTAGCTGTCTTTTTCAAGATTGTTTCAACTTTTCTAGGTTCTTTGAGTTTTCATGTAAATCTTACAATCAGCTTATTCCTTTCTATTTAAAAAAAAATATGCTGGATTATGACTAGGGTTGCATTAAACCTACAGATAAACTTGGATAAAACAAGGCACTTAATCTGGATGGAGTCTTTCAATCTATGAACACAATTTATTTCTCTAGCTATGAGGTTTTTGGTAATTTATCTCAATAATGTTTTATCATTTTCAGCCCTGAGATTTGCAAGTCCTGTGTTAAATTTGTCACTGGTATTGTTTCTGGCATTTTTTGATGCTGTTTTAAATGCAGTTATCTCCTGTTTTCCAGTAGTTTGTTGACAGAATATAAAAACACATTTGATTTTTGTGTATGTTGGCCTTGTTTCCTGAGACCTTGCTAAATTCGTAGTTTCATTGATAGTTTTGATGATTTTTTAGGATCTTCTACATAAACAATCATGGCATCTCTGAAGACGTGGTTTCACTCCTTCCTTTTCAATCTTCATCCTTTTGTTTATTTTTCACATACGACTTGTACTTATTTTGTTAAGTTTATCCCTGTATTCATCTGTCTCTCTAATTTGGGGGGCAGCAGTTTTCTCCGTCGCCTCGGTGCTCTGACGGATCTAAGAAGAGACATTGATTTCAGTCTGCCCAGCCTTTTTCTTCTGTGAGGATGAGAGTGACAACTTCCAAGCTCCTTAAGTGTTGGGACAGAAACCAGAAGTCTCTCTGCTATTGTCTTCTTAGCTAAAATTTGCATTAATTTCTTGTGTTTGCTGTGGAGATTATATTATGCATCTTATGCAATTTACCAGAACCTACTTATGATTGTGCTACTTCATGTAAAATAAAGGAATCTTGGAATGATGTGGCTCTTTTAACTTCCTCTCATCCTTTTACCATTATTATTACATATATTTTATCTACATACATCGTAAGCCCCACCAGACAGGTTTATGATTTTTGCTTTAAACATTATATATGTGGGCCCAGCTTCCAACTCTGCTGCTAACAGATGGGCCCTTCAGCAACAGGAGCTAGATCAGCCCTGGTGAGGGGCTCACATCAGGCTTAGGCATGGCCTCTTTGCCATCTAGGCTGCCAAGTTCATGGGCCCACTGGGTGGGCACTGGGGTGCCCAGTTGACATTTACCGAATGACCCCCCCATCCAGCAGATTCTGCACCTCCTCCACAGTGGCTGTTTACAGGTAGGCATTAACGTGCAATGCAAAGAGTGGCACACTTGGGGCACATGACAGAAGCGGGATCCTAAACAAACTGCAGTTTATCTGCACGGTGGGACATGATGTATCGATCAGAGGGAATGAACCAGATGCATACACATGACCAGGAGTGAATCTCAAAAACATAATGTTGAGTGCAAAAAGAAAGCATATTGCATGAAGATTAAATACAATATGAAACATTTATGTGAAGTTGTCAAATATACAAAACAATACAACATCATGAGTACATCATGCAATTACGGTACAAGCACAGAAACATGCCTATGGCCAACTCCTGGCCAGCTGCAAGCGTGAGGTGACCATGGGGTTGTGGGGAGGGTAAGGGGGAAGCCCTGGCTACTCCTGTAAATGTACATCTTTAAAAATAAAAGGCCGGGCGCGGTGGCTCACGCCTGTAATCCCAGCACTTTGGGAGGCCGAGGCGGGTGGATCACGAGGTCAAGAGATCGAGACCATCCTGGTCAACATGGTGAAACCCCGTCTCTACTAAAAAAATACAAAAAAAATTAGCTGGGCATGGTGGCGCGTGCCTGTAATCCCAGCTACTCAGGAGGCCGAGGCAGGAGAATTGCCTGAACCCAGGAGGCGGAGGTTGCGGTGAGCCGAGATCGCGCCATTGCACTCCAGCCTGGGTAACAAGAGTGAAGCTCCGTCTCAAAAAATAAAAAAATAAATAAATAAATAAATAAAAAGAGAAGCTGGGCTCTGTGGCTCATGCCTGTAATCCCAGCTCTTAGGGAGGCAGAGGTGGAAGGATAGCTTGAGCCCTGGAGCTCGAAACCTGTCTGGGCAGTATAGCCAGACCCCGTTCTCCACAAAAAAGAAAAAAACAAAAAGACAAAAAAAATAAGCATTAAAAAAAAGAGAAATGTGGATCAAGTATGGGGAAATATTTTAACCATTACAATTTAAAATTTTTGTATTTTAATTTTGAAACCAATGCAAAGTGAGTCTCAATGGTGGGCACATCTGTGAACATCATGTGCAGCACTATGTGCTGGACATTGCTCCCACTTCAAAATGAAAGAAGCTGATAGGGAAAGAGACTCCTCTAAGTTAGTCAGCAGTCCCTGGCTTTGAGCATGTGAAGTCTACTCTAAGTGTAAAATGCAACCAGATTTCCAGACGTAGTATGGAAAAAGCATGCAAACTCTGTTCATTCTACAGTTCTCCCAAAGAGTGAGCATTAGGCTTCAGTTAGGGCAAGAGCCAGTGAGCTGGAGAGATGGGTGCTGACCCTGGCATCCTAGCACCTGGTGTCCCAGCACCTG